GGTTGAGATTTTTGAGCTATAAAACCACCTATAATTGAATGAATGTAAGGTAGAGCTCTTTAATGTTTAACTGTGGAACATTACAGGCAGAGCAATCCATACATACAGACTATCCACATACATATCCATAGATACAAACAAAGTTACATAGTGCACCTTTAAATATAACCCCTTTAAAAATCTCACTAAAACACTGCTCATTATTTTGGATACACACAGAAAGACAAAAATCGTGAGGTGCAAAGTTGAGAAGATGTACTGAACACCTCTGTGATTCTGTTACATTATGGCCCAATCAGATTACTGCATTCTGAATAGGCCTATTTAGACACTTAGTTTACTTTCAGCAGCTTTGTATTTGTGGTACCTTCTGTTATGTATTTTTGCCACTGATTTGAGTAGGAAAAATGGTACATGCACTCACCAAAGAGTGATGTTTTCCATTTGAGCAGTTTGAAGCCTTTGAAGCCCTTATCAAATACTGCCATGCATTTCTTTGATTTTAGGGGAGTAACTGTATTCTGAATTCCACCAAATAAAAGAGTAACTGCAACAGACTTCAGCCACTCAGGCTACGTTTATATGATGACAGTCTGAACACAAGACGCAAAAGTGGCGTCGCGTCTTTACTTTTTATTACGAGTTTAGGTGAAACTTTTCAGGAGGAAATTGTGCATACGGTGATGCAAAAGTGTGTGGAATTCGATTGGGTATGCATGCTAGATGGCTAGGTGGTGATGCCAGGTGGTGATATATGTGACCTAAACACGTATGCGACGTGAGCAGATCTGACCAGAGTTTTGCGTCTTGGGCAGTGTAGACGAAAACACTACGGCACAGCGTATTCAACTTTTCCAATCTGAAGGGTGGTTTCAGATTTTTATGTTTCAAGCCTCAGAAACGCCATCACCATCTAAACCAGGGGTGTCAAACATACGGCCCGGGGGCCGGATCCGGTCCTCCAAGACCTTAATGTGGCCCTTGACTGATTTTCTACTAAAATATTTTAATTATATTTTCTAATATTGGCAATTTTCTGCACCGCTTAGCATAGCAGCTACCCTCCCACCAGAGCAGCACAAATGAAGACTTGCCTCTTTCCAAACGCTCTTAAAGGATGATCGTTTTGACTGTTGACTGTGACACCCTTATCAGCAAAATGTCAAAAATGAGATAAGTGGACGCCAAGTGCAGGATTTTCCAAGAAAAATTGACTTATTCCTATTTGCATACAAGTTCATGTTCAAACATTGTGTTCAAATTGTATTTTTCTTAAAGTTTCAGGTTGTTCATAATATTATAATATTTTGTAAAAGAAAGAGTTCATCAATTAAAAAAGATTTCTGTAATATATTTGCATTTCTCTGCACAAATATTTGAACTTATTGCTATTTTTGGGGTATATACAGTATGCCATGAGTTTTCTGATCTGGCCACTTTGGGATCATAAGTAGGTTGGATACGGCCCCCGGACTAAAATGAGTTTAACACCCCTGGTCTAAACAAAAGGCACTTCCAATAAAGCGTTCTGGTGTAAACAGGCACTCAAAAGTATTCTGAAAATATACTATAAATATAAATAGTATGCATATTTAGCAGCGATGGGAAGAATACTTTGAAAATGCATTTAGTCACAAAATACTAAATACCCAAATTATGTATATGTATTTTATCACTTTGTCCAATCAGAGTACTATATTCAGAATACTTTAAATACTAGAGTTGCATTTAAATTATAATTTAAATGCACAACATAGGATTAGCTCAATATTTGTTTTCACTGTTTGTTAGGTATTTATGTTATGCAAAAAATATATATAGAAAAAAAAATCTGACTTGCATGCACCACAAGAGGAGTGTTTTATATTTTTCATATTAATTAAGTGCAGTTTGAAGTCTAAACTGAGTGATCAAGTACCACCATGTATTATTTTGATTTTCAAAAATGTAGTATTCTGAATGCCACCAAATCAGAAAGTACCTGTAACGGACTTCAGTTACCCGAAATCAGAATTCATTTACTTACCATCACTATATTGAGTTACTTCCATTGGTGAGGTTTAATGTGAGTTTAATGTGAGTTAGTGAGTTTTGGATGGAGACGTCTCTGAGCTCATGTGGACCATCTGCACAGAGACACGGGCCACACCAGAATACCAGTCTGCTCATTTGTTCTGGCTCAGTTGCTGGCACTTGCACTATTTTGGAGAGTTTGATTTCTTTCATTAATTGTGAAGCTCAGATCTTTTCAATATTTGGCAACTTTTGTACAGAATAAAGTTAGCAGTTTGTTTTGTTTTTCTCTGTATCTTGGGTCTTGGGATTGTGGCTGATGCTAAAACATGAAATAGATTTGCAGGTTCAGTGCTGAGATGTATTTGGCAAATATCAATGCATAAAAAATCAGACAGAGAAAATGTAGAGATGGTGAAGCAAGATGTTTTGTATCCAGGGCTCACAGTTTTGTGTTACACCCAAATGGTCCTCTTTACTTGCAGAAAAGTAGCAGAGTGGTTAGCTTTCTCACCTCTGAACAAGAAGGCACATATTTGACCCCTTGTATAAAACCACCATGCTTTGTAATGTGCAGAGACATCTTTTTAATATTTAAAAAGTGTAATTTTTTTTTTAAATTATTATTCTTTTGTCTTTAATAAATCCTAGAGACATTTCTGTCTCTCAGCAAATCAGCATCTCAGTAATTAAATATATCCTCAAGCAACAACAGCTCATGTCCATGCCACCACCACTCCCATGGAACTTGCAAAAATACACATACTATATTATTTTCTTTCTACATCTAATAAATTATGAATCTCCTCCCAAGCACAGAAATTCAATTAAGTATCCCAGTGTAATTATTTGCTTCTTTGACTCCAGGTTAAAATGACAATGGTTGTGATTATCCTTGGAGACCTTTGTTGAAATACTGTTGGCAGTTATGGGCTTCGAACTGTTTCCATAGAAATTAAGCAATGAGAATAGACTTCACATTGTTTTCAGTGTAAATTAATAGAGTGCACATAGGTTTGTTTTTAATGGGAAAACTTAAGATATTATGAACCTACATCATGTCATAATATTTGCAGGTATGCGTCAGTATCACATATCTTTCCTTGTATAAATGTATAAATAGCAATAACAGAATATAACCCACACCTTTATGATGTCTTTGTGTTGTTTTTGCCAGCACACATTGTCTTCTATCTTCTTTTTCCGGGCTAATTATTTTCCCTCCTTAAACTTAGATAACTGTGAAATAATTAGACGATAAGCACTGATTGCGTTCTTAAACCTGTCTCTTCCTCCTGTCTCTGTGATGCCATCAATGGCTTAGAAAAACAAATGCTGCTTTCAAATTAATTGCTCGAAGCATCCTAAGATGCACAAACAGAAAGGCACACAGGAAGGCTTTGTTTTTGTGGAAGTCATGTCATCACAGCAGGAAGCAATGAGAAAAACATGCAGTAATTAGAGAAGCAGTCAGACACACTGAGGCCTGGGGATACTGGTTTAAACTTAAGCCTGTTCTGCGATCCAGGCAAATACTTAATTAAAATGAGCAAATGTAAGAAATGTTTGGAGAGAAAAGAAATGGGGTGGATGTCAACTGGCTTTTGTCACACTGAAACTAGATGAATATTGTGCTAATTTTTTGGAAACAATCTAAATAAATATGATATATTTTGTGTTTGTGAATCAGAAGAAATGTATTGAGGTGTAGTTAAAAGGAGGCCTAGCCATATAAAATAATAATGCATTAGTCTTAAAAAAGCACTTCTTCAGACTCACAAAATTGCTTTACAATTTCATGAACTACTATTGTGGCCATCAGCCCCTTTGATCACCACCGACACTGACACACATCATATTAATGCATGGAAATGTTGCTAGAGTGTCTTGCCTAAGGACACAACAACTGTTTTTGGCACTGGCGCCCCTCAGTGGTCTCCCATCCAACTACTAAGTCAGATTAGGCTTGTTTACAAAGCAAAGATATATCTATACTGTTGTTTAAGATGACATTGTGTTTGGCTTGTGTGGATGGAAATGCATACAGTAGGACTGGGGCTGTAGGCGTTTGGTTTGCTGGAGCAATTGTTTAACTTTATAAGACCAACTTTGTAAGACTCTGCCAAGCACTTGCAAATCTTGAATAAATTAAACTCTAAATAAACCTTTTTCACCCCAAGGAAGAAATAAAGTTCACATTTGCTTTAGACTTTAGACTTCTGAATTGTATAATATTGTTATCTCTGCACTGGTTTATTTTTCAGTTGCTTTTTATTAAACACCAGTTCGCTCTTAAACTATTATTGCTAATAAGAAAAATACCTGAGATATGATTTGCTTTAGAATTGTCTTTGGTTGTCCCTGATGTATACATGAAAACTACACAGTGACCAGAAAGAATTTCATTAGCACTATTTCTTTTATAATACTGTTTGTTTTATTCAGTTTTAAACTGTAAATCATGTATTTTGCACAGACTTTTTGTTCTGTGAAACACATCAAATTACTTAATGTACAAATAAAGTTACTTTGCCTAATGTTAATCACAGTTATGGACATATTAAAACCCTGCCATAAAAGGTCAGCAAAGGCCAACATTATTAAAGCATAGCCTCTTAGTACCGTTTAGTCTTGTCATGAATCATCTGCAGAAGATATCATCTGAATACAAAGTAGGAGTTTTTTAGATGTTAAAAACTCACAGCATATTGAGTAATCACAACTTTGATTTCATAAGCTCCTCAAATACTCCTCTCAAACCTAAAAGCAAAAAATTGAGAAAGAAAAATCCTCTCTCTAAACCCACTTTAGACTTTCGGGAATGAAAGATGAAATTTCCACATTCTTTTATTCAGTGCCAAAAAGCTCAGTTTTGTTTTGTTGATTGACAGTTGAATTGATACAAATTAAGATAAAGAGCTCCTCCTAGTGGCTGACTAGAGATACCCACAAAACAAAACAAAACAAAAAAATCAGATAAAAAGGCACTTTGTACAAAATCTATTCAATTTATTATTGCAGGGAAACAAAACAAGACAGATTTACAGTGGGTCCAATGAAAAGTGGAACATATTTAGGAAATACTCAATGGGCACTCATCAGACATAACCAAAAATCTACAGAATCTACAGGAAAGAAAGTACAGTAAGTGCATTGCCATCCCACTCCCAGTTTGTAGTAAACACAAGCGATATAACTTTAAGAATTATGCATTTAAAATGATTGATCAATGTTCCAAAGAAAATGAAATGCGGCCACTCACAAATATAAAAACCCAGTGGACAAGACAGATAACATATGTTCACATCACGTATGGATCACAGTGCACAAAGCAAAAAAATACATCAAATAACATGAAAAAAGCGTTGCCCTTGGTAACCATTTCACATATGATGCTCAATGATCATCACATTTTATAATCATAATTACAAAAAAAGCATAATACAAAATAGACAATATGGCTATGTCTTCTCATTTGGTCGTTTGGCTTTATACATTTGTGGTACAGCCATATTTTACAAAGCAACAATATTCTTTATGAACATTCTGTGGATTTAGGATTTAAAGTGTTGAACAATGTTGTAAACAGACCCTTGCATTGTTTTAAATGTTGTTGTTACATTAGATATTTACAGTTCTGTCCATAAACACAACGGCCATTCAGGGGTAATAAGTAAAATGTGTGCTTTCAAATTTGATGTTTTTTCTTTCTCCATCATGTCTTAAAGATGCACCAATGCTTTTGGTAGAGAGCATGCCATCTTATGTTTCCATATGAATTGTATTATTGTGCCAGGAATGTTCCACAGTACAGAATTAAATTTATCCATCTCCATAGAGACAAGCAGAAGATGCCACCACCACACCAAGTTAGGAGTCATCTTTATGATGAGTTGATGCCGCTTACTTAAAAACATGTTTTTAGTTGAGTAAGATGAGTAAGTAACAAAAATACAAATGGTAGCGAAACCCCAACTGGAAAAGTTACATAGTGCACCTTTAACAAGTCTGTAAACCCACTAGTATAAGGCATAGACTGTATATATTTTTTCTTTATACAGTCTATGGTAGAAAGTGAAAAATAATGTGTGTGTAATTCATGTTCCCATGGTAATTATACCTGATTGATGCATGTAATGAAACATGCACAAATTCTGGCCTATTTGTGATGTAAAGAAAAAAAAAACAGCTGCTTTGCCCAATTTTACCTCTTTTTGCAGAAAACTGAAAATTTGTTAAATCTTAGCAGAGATCTTCATCACACTGCATTCACCACATAAACCTCTGTTTGACATTACTGTCTGGCCATTGAAACGTCTTACTAATAAAAATATAAATGGTTGCCACATTCACCACAGTGTACAGAAGAAACTCTATGATTAGTCTAGGGAGAGATGGGAGTGGCATATGCAAGCGGTACATCAAATATGGAATGATAAAGTACCTGAATTCAAGCAGTTTTTGGGGAATGGTAGCAGCCATAATACATACCAGTAACGCTAAGATCCAAAACAGTGACCTATACTTAACTGAGTCCAAAAAACTCCAACCAGCAAAAACATAAGCTGGAACCAGGAGATATCGGACCAATTCATTCATGCCTCTGGAAAACTTTCTTCCAAACATAGAAAGGGTAATGTCGATTGTCTGCCAAAAGGTACTTGTGGATAAAAGTGAACTTCCAAACAAGAAGCAATATGAGAGCTGTCACAACCAGAAAGAAAAATGGCTGCCTTTTCAACCCTTGAAGAAATCGCACAACACGATAGTAGCAAACTGTGAGGGGTAGGGCAAAGAACAGAGTAAAAGAGAAAAAATAGAATAATTGTGGGAAGTTAAGGCAAGCTTCATGACTTGTTCTATCACCAACTACTATGCCATCATTTAGGAATATGAAAAGGAGGAATCCAATAGCTACAAGAACATAAGGCCACACTAAGAGTAATACAGACTTGATATGCGCAGGGTTAGTCACAAACTCCAATGTGAAAGTCAGTACTTTTTTCACTCCGCTAAAATTCAGAGGAACTTGTGATTTCAGCTCATCTTTCTTCTTGGTGTGCTCCACCCTCCAGGTTTCATCCATTTTGGCAGCAACTAAAGATCCAGCACAAAAAGCCACCCAGATGATGTTGGTTTGGCGGAAGAGTATGGCACAAATGCCCAGGAGTGCCGAGGCCTTGTGACAACCATACAGTGTCATAAGGTATGTGAAGAGGATGAAGAAAGTAGATCCGGCGTCTGTGTAGTATAAGAAATTGAAGAAGTACAGCACTGGGAATGTGGAGAGAGAAAGAGCGGAGAGGATGCGACGTGAGGCTGTGCGACTCTGAAAAACACAGAGCGGAGTGAGAGAGTGAGCTATTAAATGCTAATAGCTTTTCAGTTGCTATTCAGTGGTTCATTTTGTTTATTTTTTAATAGAGGAGGCATTTCAACCTTTGACCTAAAACTTTTCTAAATACAATTAAAGCAAGTTTTCATACTACAAAATCAACGTGCAAATGCAGATTATTTACTGTTTTTATAGCAGTATTTTCAAACAGCAAAACCAATTTGCAATTAAAATCTCTCCTTGAGAAAATCCACTCAACTATATCGGTTTTAATAATAATAATAATAATAATAATAATAATAATAATAAACTTTTCAAAATGGAGATGTCCGTTTTGTAAATTAAATTTTCAGTAATGAAAATGCCTGAGTGAATATGTTAGACCTAAATTAGTCACTGTCACTAATGGAAATTGTAAACTGGCACGTAAAGCATAATGTTTATCATTTAATGCTTTGCAATTTATATCCTAAAAATATGTGCTGGTGTGCTACATCTTTCATTAATTGACAAATGGACTCAGAATTAATGTGACATAAACATTTGGTTTGCTTTAGCTATAGACTATTATCACGCTTCCGGGTTTTGTGGGTGGGGTTTATCTACTTTGTGCACTTCCACTTCCGGCGCAACAACAACAATGGCTCAAACGATGTCTAGAAGTCACTGCTCTTTTTAAATTATGAAATAATCAGTAGGATCAATGCATATTTTTTGTAAATACTTTGTAATAGCTTTATAATTGGCAAAAGAAGTTACTGGGACCAGTTAAAGCTCCACAGCGGGAGCAGGACAAATGTATCAGACACAAAAGGAGGAAAAAAGTCTGCTTCAAACAGATGTTCTCGCTCTGTCTTTTTTATTTTCTCATAGCATCGTAAAGTCCATTGAAACCTCACGGTGCTTTGAGAAAACAAAGCACCGAGAAAGCCTGGTTAAAGCAGACCACCCCGACATGCCCCCATTCCGACACCAATGAACCAGGACTAAACCAGGACTAATCTTGAATGAAAGAGAGAAAAAGAGACAGAACCGCCATCCCGTATTGGAGGGTATTTGGCGTAAAGCTCTGTGCCATTAGAGCACGCAGAGCTTTACGCACGCTGCTCTGTCACGAGAGGGGGCCACATATGCCTGACCTCCTGCAGGTGAGAGCGCATGGAGGTGCCAGGTTAACGAGTGCGTAAAAGTCCACAACTTTAAGTGCGCGCACGAGGAGAATGCGAGCTGCAGCCGCCTCTTTATAAACTTTTATGAGTTTATAAGGGACCGACGCATTTCTGGGTCCCTGTGTAAGCTGCTCTGTCCTCTATGACCAGGTATAATTCTAATATTTTAGCCCTTATTCATGAAAATATCCAGATTCCTAAATCATTGATCTTTTTAGTGTCTATCTGACTGCAAGCCCGGCACCGGTTCACTGTTGCAACACACTGAGCTTTACAGCCCATTCTCGTGCACCCTAGTCTTTGCCAATAGGTAATGAATGTCTCCTGCTCCTGTCCATTTACAAAAATGTTCAAACTGTCACACAATTCAGTTTTCGCAGTTTCTCTACTTGGCCGTATCATTGCGCCTTGAGCCAAATGCGCGTCACCGCGCGCTTCCACCTGCAGTGTCAGGTAACACCCCATAACCTCTTCATTCATAAAGTTCCAAATTCTTACGCATCTGTCCCTTGTAGCTGCGCTGCTCGGCTGCACTCACAGCACCAGGACCTTTACGCACAGTGGTGCGCCTTCAACAATAGGATTCTGCCACTCCGACCAAAAGATAAAGAAACGTCGGAGTGCAGGGACGTTTGATAATAAATGGAAATGCCGCTACTCTGACAATAACACGTCAATATCGGAGTGATGGTATGTCGGATCGGCAACTGTAAAGTTATGTTAGCTAGTAGCCACTCACCTTCATAGTCGTAGGTAAAATTTTCAAAAAATAAACTGTGTCCGTTGTCCACTTTGGAGCGGGCTGTGATTCAATGTTGATCAATGAGACGATGTACGTAGGAAAAGGATATTTTCAGTAAATTTATAAGGGATGTAGTCTATGTAAACAACTTCGTACATCATGAGTTCAATCACCAGAGTGACAATTCACCGGAAGTAGGCGTGCACAAAGGTCACTGAATGCGGAAGTACTACGTATCAGCGTGATAATAGTCTATTAGGATGCAACAGGTAATTTGTGGTATGCTAAAATGCCCATTAACACTATTCTACCTTCTCCCGTTGGTGTAGTTTGCAGATGAGCAGGTAGAGGAGATAGAGGTTGCCACAGTTGAAGAGCAAGTTGATGAATCGCAGCATGGCAGTGGAACAGACCACATCACCGCTCAGGTCGGCCAGCCACACGATCGGCTTAATGACCCCCACAGAGGCGAGGTACAGGCCGGGGAGGGTGGTGATCATAGGGTCCCACTGTAGGAATGACAGATAATGCTAATGTTACTCAGGTATTATTCATGTGGTTTAAAAGAGAACTGTGTAACTTTTCTAGTGGAGGGCCCGTCAAATGCTTTTCTCCATGGACATGCTATTGGTTTGTCTGTTTGTTTTGCAGTATATTATTAAACTTTTCTATCTTCATGGAGACCAAACCAGACCAAATTACAGGTCAGATCTGTCGAGAGGCGACCCTGCTCACAGTCAAAATGGCTATTTATCTAGACATTTTTTGAGCTGTCAATGTCATACTGTGGAACAGTCCAGGCAGTGCAATGGCACATCAATAGAAACAAGCAGGTGACAGACCTCCAATCAAAAAGTTACATAGTGAACCTTTAAGTTTTATATGTGGAAGATCGGGTGGCCAGATTAAATAAAAGATTGTTACTGGTTCTTCAGTTTTGAGCTCTACAAGTGGCAACTAATCAGTAGAGCAATGTTGAGATATTATCAATAAAATGTGCTATGCAAATATTTTGATGGAGGGTCCGCTACCCGTTTGTCTTCATGGAGATGTACTTGATGTGCCTGGAAAGCTTCACAGTACTGCATTAAACAGATATATCTTAGGCTTATTTATTTATGTTTTATGATCAAAATGCTGTCATCTGCATCTACGAATGAAAACCCTAATTCTAATAATTTAAGAACACTACAACTACTATTGCTTAAGTTGACCAGATTTTCAAAATTCAAAACTGGGACACATCCAGGTTGGTATGAACAAAATTGTGAAAAGAGAGCCTAACTGTAACTAACTGTCCATTCACAACTTACTTTGTGGGTCAGTCATAATCTGAGGGACTTCTGATGGTGCATTTTTTATTTCTTATGGTCATTTTCAAACTAAATGTTCTGCATTTTAGCTAAACAAATGATAATATATCCCCCTCTTTACTGTTGGTGGGTATCAAAGTGGTCAAAATAGGGACACCTGGGACATCTGTTGTATAAAACTGGGACAAATCAGTGGTTTTGGACAAATCTGCAGGGACAGAGGGCACAAAACTGGGACTGTCCCGGGTAAAAAGGGACATCTGGTCACCCTACTATTGCTGCAACTCATACTTAAAACAAACACATACACTTTAAACTTTACCATAGACAGTTCATCGATAAGACACTGCAAAATGTTTTCTGCAAGACAAATCTGCTGAATCCTAGCTAGCATCGCTGTTATGTGAGACTATGGGCTTAAAAGGGGCTTTGTGCCATCATTAAGTGAACTGCTGTTTCCTAATCCCTCCACCAACAATGCATTAATTTGTACACTCGTGTTTAGAAAAATCCGCGACATTTTACCTCATTGAATTTCCCTTGGCAGTATTTCTGAGCCTGTGGGACGTGAAAAATCTCGTCCATATAGGGCTCTCTCTGCTCTCGGGTCACTCTGGAGAAGACAAGGCAGGAGATGAAAAAGTTGGTGCTGCAAAGTGCTGTGAAGATGTAGCCTTCAAATTTCTCCATGATTTATCCTATAACGAGGCTCGATTTAAAACTCAGTTCAAAAAAGATTAGCTTTGAACAGGCTTGAAACGCATCACGGCACGATTTAAAAGGCAATCCTGCGCCGATTTGTTGTTATATTTGGAGTGGAGAGAAGGTATTGAGCGGAAGAGTTTGATATTTGACAGCTGGCGGTGCGCTTTGCTTAATCGCTCGATGTTGAACGCCATGAGATTATAAAGGTTCCTGTACTAAAATAAAGGTTTAAGTACGCTCCTTTTAAACGTAGAAAATCGTAATATTACCAAGCAATGCAACCACTGATAAATTATACTTTTTTTGGCGCAGCTATTCATTATTTGTGTTATATTTTATTTTGAATGGTGTCACTGTGTTATGGTTCCCCCTGCGCATGCATTCACGTGAAGAAGCGCGGTAGTAAAAACGTGTTGTTTACTCAGTTAAATTTCCAACTATGCATCTAACACAAGATTTAGAATTATACCCGGATTATAAAGTCACCCAACTATTGTTCAAGAATGTTAAAAATGCCGCCGAACTAAGGCAAAGCGCCGTTGAGGGTAAATTCAATGGCGCCTTGATCAGTCCTACTTTGGTAAGTCACTGGAAAGGAAAACTTTGATGTTTACAAGAATATGCATGTATGTTTATGGAATTAAAAACAAACACAACTACATCTGCGATCTGGCTTAATAAAAACATATAATAACTCTAATATAAACTGTTATTATAGTATTTATGGAATCCCATGATATGATACTACAGCACTTCTAAATGTGGGTAAAAAAAAAATATATAATATGTTTTCTGTGCTTTACAGGTGGTGAGCCCTTTCCAGGTGCTCGTAGCAGCAAATAAAGCAGTACATTTACAGAAGATTGGTAAAATGAAAACAAGAAGTCTGTTTTCAGAGATCATTTTCAACTTTTCACCCACTAATAATGTAAGTAGTTAAGATAGATCAATTTTAAATAATTGTTTCCATTATTGTTTTCAGATCTAATGTATTTTCTGTTGCAGATCTCAGAAGCCTTTAAAAGGTTTGGTATTTCGGATGGAGATAGCTCAATTTTGGTGGTTTTAGTTCATAACAAAGATGAAACCCCGCCTTTGTCAGACATCGTGAGTCGAGTGAATGGACAGCAGGTCTTAGTCGATGACCTATCATCCCTGTCAGACACAGCCAAAATAAAAAAGGTTTACTTCTTTATTTACTCTAACATGTTACGTTGCTTTTCCCCATAATTCATCTTGATTGTTACTAACTTGGTGTTTTGTGCTGCAGTTCTTTAAAATCACTCCACAGGAGGAGAAGATTGGGACACTGTTGGATGCAGTTGTGTGCAGAATGGCCATTAAAGATGTACTGTAACTTTTAAAAGAGTTTTATACATAGTGTAAAATGGTTCTGAGTATGGTTAAATATAACTTTTCTGTCTGGTTTGATTTTGTACATGTATGTAAAAAAATAAATAAAAAAGATCTGTTTTTAACTTTAAAGACTTATTCATTTTAAAATTCACTTTATTGAGAAATTGCACAAAAGTTAAAATTAAGAATGCCTGACACATCCACATTTTACATTGCATGAATATTAGTGTATTAAAAAGTATAAAAAATATTTGACATATTAAATGTATTTATTACATTATGTTTACATTCCAGTAAACAAAAGATGTTGACACTACAGTATATGCATAATTACAGATATTTTTTCAATCTCAATCCAACATAATTTCTGTTCTTAATCTGGGAAGTTCATAAATTCATCTTTTCCAATGTTGCCTCCACTGAGGATGCAGACCACTCTTTTTCCCTCCAGATCAGGGATTTTATTATTAACAACAGCAGCAAAGGCAGCTGATCCCGAGGGCTCCACCACCAGCCCTGCTTTGTAGAGAGTGGACACGGCTGATTTGATTTCCTCATCGCTCACAAGGACAATCCCCTCCACAAAACGCTGGCACAAATCAAAAGGCAATTTACCTACAACATTTAAAAGTATTATTTTTGTTATTAATTCATTTAAAGGCATGTTTAATTTGAAATCCACTAATATGAAGGGTTAAACAAGGCCTTAAAGACACACTTTGTAACTCTTCTGGTGGAGGGTTCGCCATCTGTTTGTCTCCAGGGAGATATTATGGCTTTGCCTGGAATGCTCCACAATATGGCACAAAATTATAATTGGTCACAAATACATAGAAAAAAGCACTGTTGCTGTGAGCGGGCCCACCTTTCCACAGATGTGACCTGTAACTTTGCTTGGTAGTGTTACCTGCTTGTCTTTATAGCACTAACACCCATTGCCGCCAGAAAAGTTGCATAGTGCATCTTTCATTACACTTCAGCAATTTCATTCAGAGGCTTTGTACAGAATGATATTGACCAACCCTTATACCTGCAAAAGGTGGTGCGAGTCCTGCTACACTCTTTGCATCCATGCCCACCGGCTTCTTCTCAATGAAACTTTGGAACATGGTACAGGCTGAAATGAGAGGTAAGCATGACTCCAGTCATCTTAGAAAGAATGAATGAAAAACTCTTTTGGTCCATCCCTGACCTCCCTGTGGCTCCACACCATATATCCTGGTCTTTTCACATCCTGACAGTTTAATGGCAGCAGCTACACCAGCCAGTAGCCCCCCTCCACCACAGCAGACCACCACAACATCAGGGTCCGGCAACACATCCAGTAACTCCAGGCCAAGACTGAGCACAAAAACAACAAAACAAGATAATATAAGTAAAACTGCATACTGACATATTGACATAAATACATTTTAAACACAGTACCTTGCGTGTCCGGCTATGAGATCCAGATCATCGTATGAGTGTAGAAATGTCATGTTTTCCTCTTGAACACAGCGGTTCACCACATTCATCAGACACGAGGTAGGAACTCGCTCAACTTCAACTCCAAAACTCTGAAGACACAGAGTAAAAATAAATAAAGAAAACATAATTTCCATCAATTAATTAGTTAGTGACATACAAATGTATGATATTCTAAATAAAATGGGAGCAGAGACTCAGTAGGTATATTGTTTGCAAGATGGTAGTTTGATTCCCTCTGCCACAAATGTAGACTGCTGTTATATCCATGGGCAAGACTCTGGCCTTGCTCTTGTGTCTGTGTTATGAATGTCCTGCATTTGCACTCTGACACATGTGATTGGCTGAATAAGGAAAAACAGAAGTCTGGTATGTGAACTTTTCATTTTAAATTTTAAAACACAAAAAAAGTCATATGAATTCTTACCTGTATTAAAATAGACCTGGACACTGGGGCAGTCTCTGGCATCACCACTTTCCCCTTTGTCCCGTAGTGCTTTGTAGCATATGCAAAAGACTTTCCATAGTTCCCAGCAGACATAGTGACAAAATGGCCACCTTTTTGTCTTTGAGCAAACTGGTGCGCAACGCCTCGAATCTTAAAGGAGCCTGTCAAACACATTCACATACACAGCGCTTATAAAACATGATGCAAACGGGAATAAATGTTGATACTGACCGGTTCTCTGCATGTTTTCCAGTTTGATGTGGATGTCACAGTTGATAGTTGGTGGGAGGGTGGTCTGGGCCCAGGGAATCATGGGAGTTTGGATGACCCCGAGTGGACTGCTTTTCACCACCTCCCAGGCCTCTCTGAGCAGCTCCAGAGTCACTTTATGTGCAGAAACTTGGGCCATCTGGATAATAAAGAATTAAAGGTAGTTTGCAAGTACTTTGGATGGCTTTGGTTTATGTTTGTATTGTAAAGGTGCACTATAAAATTTTTCTGGTGGACGGTCTGCCACAGGCTCGTCTCCATTTACATGTTACTGCTTTGCCTTGGACAGTCCGTAGTATGACAATAAAGTTTTTCAGGCTATTCTGCATTTATTCATTTATATGTTTTACTGAAAAAAAAAAAAAAAAAAAAAAAGGAAATATAATCAAAAACATTCAGGGTGAGCAGGCTGGCCTCTCCACAGATATGACCTGTAACTAGGCCTAGTACAGTCAGATATGTTTATTGCCATATTGTGGTACACACCAGGCAAAGCAAGAACACCTTCTAGGAGACAACCAGGTGGCAGACCCTCCACCAGAAAAAAATACACAGTGGTACATCTTTAATTAGTTATTTTGTCTTTATTGCTGGATCCAACACATCAAGCTCAAACATAAAATCCAAATAGAAAAGATTCTAGGTGACCCTTGATCTGCTCATGTCCAGCGCATGTGACTGAAGGTAATTTAATTTTCAAAGTAGACTTAGGTTTAAGGCTTGTCTTATCTTATATTGCAGGAAGTATAACCGGTGATTCTCCAACTTACCAGGAAATTATTCGTTTTTCCCAATCACTAGAAAACGGAGATGGGAGCTCGTCCACGTTGGTTGTGGTCATCGATGCTTGTGGTGCGTTGTGTGGCTCAGGTTAAAGAACTGTTTCCGCACGGACACTTTTTACAGACGGATCGCAAACATGGCGCCTTAGATAAAGTTGTCAAAGCTGAAACCAAAACGTTAATCGAAGCAGCTGCCAAAATGATTTGATAGACAAATCTCACAGCTTCAAAAAACATGGGACTCTTAAGGCACGTCGTGTGTGCCATGTCAGGAGGCGTTGACAGCTCCGTGGCCGCGCTGTTATTGAAGAGACGAGGTGAGGCGACACCAAAACTCACGCATTCATTGAATTTTCATGAGCAATGTTCAAGCAAATAATATCTTATACAATTATTGCCTTTAAGGTTATAGTGTGACAGGAGTGTTTATGAAGAATTGGGACTCTTTGGACGAGTCTGGAGTGTGTACGTCAGATAAGGACTGTGAAGATGCCTACAGAGTGTGTCAAACACTAGACATCCCCTTTCACCAAGTGTCCTACGTCAAAGAGTACTGGCATGAGGTGTTTACGTGAGTATCAAGAATAAATGCTTCTTCACTTTGTCGTGTGTTCTATGTTACAATATAATATGATGAGGATTCAAAAAACGTGGATATCAACAACTTTTTGCATGCATTACTGAGTTGGTTTCCAAAACACAGGATTAAAAAATACGTACTTTGCCTTTCTCAAAACCTGTTTGTGATGTACTGTTTTTCCTTTTGTCTTGTGCAGAGGTTGACCTTAATTTGACCTTTATATTGACTTTCATTTTTCTTTCAGTAATTTGTTGAAGGAATACCAAAAAGGAAGAACTCCAAATCCAGACATTATGTGCAATAAACATATTAAGTTCAACCATTTCTACAAATATGCTATAGACACTTTAGGTTAGTTTTATCTTCTTTTGTAAACCATTCATACTTAAAAAGAAAATATTACTACTGGACACAAGTTTATAATTTGTTTTCTGCCATGGAAGGTGCTGATGCAATGGCAACCGGACATTATGCTAGGACCTCCCAAGAAGATGAAGAAGTATTTCAACAGATGTTCTCCTCTCCTCCTACCAAACTGTTCAGGGACAGATTTGAGATCAGAAATCGTAAGGATGCCTCTGTGACTCTACTCGGTCACTATATTAATTTAAAGACTTGCAGATTATGGGATTATTGTTATTGTGTCCAGCTGTTAGGTTGCACCAAGGAGCAGACCTCTTCAAAGATCAAACCTTCTTCCTAAGTCAAATCCCACAGGACGCACTCAGACACACCATGTTCCCACTGGCTGGACTCACCAAAGACTTTGTCAGAAAAATTGCTGCTGAGGCAGGTCTCCACCATGTGCTAAAAAAGAAAGAGGTGGGGTAATCTTATGTCATTACATGGTTGTGTATCTAAGGCTGTGTCTGTACATCCCTGAATAAGTCTGTGTATATGAGACAGCACCAAACTTATGGTAATTTTCTTGCAGAGTATGGGCATCTGCTTTATTGGAGAAAGGGATTTTGAAACTTTTATTTTAGAGGTGAGTAAGAAAATCACTGTGTGCCCTACACTGACTTTAGTGAACAAATCAATGAATTTAAAGAATACTATTATTATTGCAGTATCTTGAGCCTAAACCAGGAAACTTTGTATCTATTGAAGATAGTTCAGTAAAAGGAAAACATAAAGGTTTGTTTCAACGTGTATTTTTATTATCTACCCATAATGCCACTTGTAACTTGCATTTGTGTTTGTTTCCACTCTTTTTTTTTTCTCTCAGGCTGGTTTACTTTTACACTGGGACAGAGAGCAAGAATAGGAGGCCAGAGGGACCCCTGGTTTGTTGTGGACAAAGACATAACTACAGGAGATGTGATGGTGGTGAGAAATTTAACTCCACTCCACAAATATATATATATTTTTTTTCAGCAACATTTGTATGTGCAAGTCTCAGATAACTTTTTATTTCTCTCAAGGCTCCAACCACCAATCACCCTGCTCTTTTTCGGGACACATTAAAGACAGATCGTTTTCACTGGATCACGATGGAGCCACCTCGTGAATTGGCCCAGACCAAGATGATGGAGTGTCATTTCCGATTCATTCATCAAATGCCACTCAGTATGTTTTCATTTCACTAAGGACAATTCAGCACCAATATTATATATGATGTATAATAAACACATATCCTGTGTTCCACAGTCCGGTGCACTGTGACTCTGAATATGGATGGTACTGTTTGGATCTCACTGCCTGAACCTGTCAGAGCTCTTACACCGGGACAGGTAATCCATAAATTGGTGGTGGGACAAAACAATATTTCAATATTCTGACATAATGTTTTAATTGATTGTGCAATTAATTTCAGTTCTGGGTTTGCATTATTTTGATTAATTTTACTGATTGTGAATTACAATGCCACAAAATATGTGATTCACCTGCACTTAACTGTTCCTTGTCTAAATGTAAAAAAAAAAATATATATATATCTCTTGGCAAAAAATCGTGGCTTGAAATCTTGCCTATTTGTTTTTATTCACTTCATTGAGATGTTGTTTTCATTTTATAGTTTGCAGTGCTGTACAAAGGTGATGAATGTCTGGGCAGTGGAAAGATCCTCCAGCTTGGTCCAAGTCAGTTCACTCTGCAGCGTGGTCGGGAGCGGCTGTTAGCGGCCACACGACTTAAAGAGCCCAGTCCAGAGCCGGTCAGCTGAGGAGAAGAGCCCCAGGAACCACTGAGGTGCATTGTGTTCGTTGGTTGTCCAGCCTGAGGCCAGTGGAGCCAGTTTAAGTGCTTCAGTATCTAAAACGGGCACTGGCTCCAGGACTGTTTCCATCTAATGCATTTCTGCAAAACATCCGAAACAATGACTGGTGCATCCTTTTTATAGAGCCATAACTTTTTTTAAAAATAGAAGTCTGCTGTTATTATAAACAACATCTGATGGACCTACATTAGCTACAAAGGGCTTCTACCTGAGCTTGGACAATCGTTTTCACTTCATATAAAAAACCACTGGAGTTGCTGAACTTAACTGTTTTGCTATTTTTCAAAAACAGAAACCACTGACTTCATTACACAGAAGTATTTTATCAGATGCTAAAATCTGTTTTCAAACTGGACAACGTAATTTAATTTAGACTGTTCCAATCTTGCCTTTGTCTTGTACTACCTTAAAGATGTTGGCCCCTAAATAGTTGTTCTCTTAAGAATGACACGTAAATCCAGCTAAATTTACTGTAAATAGAAAATAGTACTTTTAAATGTTTTATAACAAATATTTATAATTTAAGGATATAATGCCTGTGCCTTGGGTCATCAAAATAATTTCCCTAGGATTGCTAAAGTTTGTCTAAATGTACGTCGTATTACAATTAAGACCTAAATAAACATACTTGTTGTGCCTTTTTTAAATGCTTTTTAACATTATTCATTTTATCTAATGCGTGATGATAAATGGGATTGAAATTGCTGTTGTACATTCCATATCCACCAAGAGGTGCTATAGGACTTATGGTAAGATGTCTCAGTTTAGTAGCGCATATGAGACGCCAACATTTTGACTGAAAATATCTAATGCTCACCTTGCAATTGAAATTATTGATCGATCAAATTAAAATAGCAATCAATGCAACCTATAGGTTATTGCCTTCTCATATTTTAAGTGGCAATGTAAATAAGTAGATCATGCGTAATAAGGCAAGTATGGAATCTAAAAAGATGCGTATTAGGACTTGCAGTTGAGTTTAGCTTTAAATGCACTAATATGAATCTGGGATGGCAATGTTGATTCATGGGTAGACAAATTACTAGTCAGGTTGTTTCATGTAGGATCTCATTCTGAAGTGAAAATGTTATTTGTAAAATGACAGTGGTCCCTGTGGTTGTTGTCAGTGTTGACACTCTACTTTGACACTTAACATTAGCACACAAAAGCTGAAAGAGAGCGTGTATCAAACGTGCATTAGGAATCTTACTCACTCTCACTCTATTACAATGACAATAGATCTGCGCGCATTGGTCACCCGGTCAGCACCACTTCCTAAATCTCCATGAGAAAAAAAAAAACTGCCCCCCTGCGAAAGCGTCCCAGAGGGGGACGCAGCAGGTTTATGGTAATCAGCCTCTGAGGAGGAGAGCAGGAGGAGGAGGAGAGCCGCGGAGCCATTTTGTACTCATTTTAAACTTAGTGAACGCCGCCGCTGCGCACTGTGGATCCTCTGGCACTATGGATACGCGGGCGACTTTTTCCACTTTGAAACTTTACAATGAGGAACAAAAGTAACGCGCGTTGTTGGGAGAGGGAGAGTTAACGCTCTTCTGGATGACTTTCTTCAAGTTTTGTGAGATTTTGTTGGGTAACAAGCATGGAACGTTTACTGTATTGGATATGGTTGTGTGCCTTGTTCAGTGCGCCGCTTGCTTTGGAAATACACCTTTTGGACACTTTACAGCCCGGGACGATTTTGGCAAACTTGTCACTTGGTCCGGGATGGATGTACAAACTGGACAGGACTTTAACTCCCATGTTTCTTCAAAACTTAATTCAAATTGGGAAACACGATGGGGTTGTCCGCCTGTCTCGCAGCGTTCAGTGTGCGTCCACGCTGAGAAACCCTGCGCCTGTGTACTTTACGACAGGTTCCTTGTCATCTGAAGACACTGTTGTGACACGTTTTAACGTGTTTGTCCACGGACAGGACTGTTATATTAAATACAAGAGAAAGAGTGCCTCAGGTAAGCACGATGTTAGCATTAAACATAACTCCAGACTGGAGCCAACTTCCTGCTTACACGCAGGTAAAGTGCTACTGAATGTAACAGAACTGCTGCCCACTTTTACGCACAGTATCGACTACTCTGACCCCTTCTGTGCTGACAAAGAACTGGCTTCAGTGTTTATACACGGGAGTTTAGTCTTGGCCAGTGAGTTTTGTCTTGAACGCGGAGAAGTTAATGTGCACTGCGCTCTCCACAGCCGCCCAGGAGGTAGGCTCTCTGTGCTGCTCAGTCTGACGCTTGTGTCTGATGGATATTTGCCAGAAACCGTCCAGGAAAAGTCTGTTAAGTCGTTTCACCGATACAAGCGGCAGGTAAACACGTCTCCCCAGTTCCAGCTGCCCAGCTATCAGGTGTCTGTGCCCGAGAACGAGCCCGCTGGGACCCGGGTGATCACACTCAAAGCCACTGACCCAGATGATGGAGAGGCGGGCAGGCTGGTGTACTCCATGGAAGCCTTGTTAGACAGCAGGTCCAACGACTATTTCACCATAGACTCCCAAACTGGCAGCATTTCCACGCTTCAGGCTCTGGACAGGGAGTTCAAAGACACGCATGTTTTCAAAGTTACAGTCAATGACAATGGCACTCCTAAAAGATCAGTTATCTCTGTCCTCACTATTACTGTCAGCGATACCAATGACCACAGCCCAGTTTTTGAACAAACCCAATATCGCGTTAACATAAGGGAGAACATGGAAGTCGGGTTTGAAGTCATGACCGTCCGGGCCACAGATGGGGATGCTCCATCAAATGCCAACATGATCTACAGAATAGTGAATGAAGAAGAAGTTGGCTCTGTTTTTGAAATTGACCCCCGAAATGGCTTGGTTAGGATAAGAGAAAAACCAGACAGAGAGACCAGAGCCCAGTACACACTTATTGTTGAAGCCAATGACCAAGGCAAAGACCCAAAGCCCCTAACAGCTACTGCCGTTGTGCATATTAATATTGAAGACGAGAATGACAACTACCCACAGTTTAGCGAAAAGAAATATGTTGTCCAAGTCCCTGAAAATATTGGAGTTAACACCAAAATTATCCAAGTTGAAGCTACAGATAAAGATGAAGGGAATAATGCCAAAGTTCATTATAGCATCATTAGAGGCAATGTAAGGGGACAATTTTACATCCACTCTCCAACTGGTGTCATAGATGTAATTAACCGTTTGGACTATGAGACCAACAGGGAATACAATTTGGGAATCAAAGCTCAAGATGGTGGTAGGCCTCCTCTTATAAATGTAACAGGGATGGTAGTAATCCAAGTTGTGGATGTTAATGACAATCCACCAATGTTTGTTAGCACTCCTTTCCAAGCTAGTGTTCTGGAGAATGTTGCAATAGGTCACTCGGTCATACACATCCAAGCCAATGATGCCGATTCAGGAGAAAATTCACGTTTGGAATATAGGTTAACTGGCACAACTCCAGGATTTCCCTTTACAATCAATAACAGCACAGGTTGGATTACAGTCAGTTTGGAATTGGACAGAGAGGCTACTGAGTTTTATACATTTGGAGTTGAGGCTAGAGACCATGGCGTGCCATCCATGTCCTCATCAGCCAGTATTTCCATAACAGTGCTAGATGTTAACGATAATGTACCAACATTTACTGAAGAAGTTTATTCGCAAAAAATCAATGAAGATGCAGTGATGGGGACAAGTGTTCTGACTGTGACGGCTATAGACCGAGATGTCAACAGTGTAGTGACCTATCAGATCTCCAGTGGGAACACAAGAAATAGGTTTGCGATCACAAGCCAAAGTGGAGGTGGTCTCATAACGCTAGCTTTGCCACTAGACTACAAACAAGAGCGGCAATATGTACTAACAGTTACAGCTAGTGATGGTACAAGATATGATACCACACAAGTGTATATCAATGTTACAGATGCTAACACAAATGCACCCATCTTCCCAAACACTAACTATCAGGTGATGCTAAGTGAGGACAAACCTATAGGGACCACAGTAATGAACATAACTGCCACAGATGAGGATACAGGTGAAAATGCACGTGTAACTTATATGATGGAGGACAATGTTCCCCAGTTTAAGATAGATCCAGATACAGGGGTTATCACAACTCAAATGGAAATAGACTATGAAGACCAAGCATCCTATACCTTGGCCATAATCGCTAAAGATAATGGCATTCCTCAGAAGACTGGTACGACACATGTAGATATTATGATCCAGGATGCCAATGATAATGAACCACAATTTATCCGCGATATGTACCAAGGTAGTGTATTTGAGGATGCACCAGTCTACACCAGTGTACTTCAAATATCAGCTTCGGATCGTGATTCAGGATTAAATGGGCGAGTGACCTATACTTTTGCTGGTGGAGATGATGGAGATGGGGATTTTTATATTGAGGGATCCACTGGAATTATTAGAACATTGAGGAAACTTGACCGTGAAAATGTCCATACCTATAATCTCAGAGCATTTGCAGTGGATAAAGGCATACCTCCACTTAAAACAGGTGTAAACATCCACATTGTAGTCCAAGACATCAATGACAATGCACCAGTTTTTGAAAAGGATGAGCTGTTTATTAAAGTTGAGGAAAATAGCCCTGTAGGGTCAGTGGTGGCTAGAATCACTGCTACCGATCCAGATGAAGGAACAAACGCCCAAATCATGTACCAAATTGTCGAAGGAAATTTCCCAGAAGTTTTCCAATTGGACTTATTCAATGGAGATCTTACTTCACTCACTGAGCTGGATTATGAGAAGAAAAAGGAGTATGTCATTGTAGTACAAGCCACTTCTGCCCCCTTAGTTAGCCGTGCCACTGTCCATATATGCTTGGTAGACTTAAATGACAACAGACCACAACTGCAAAATTTTGAAATTATTTTCAACAACTATGTCACAAACAAATCCAACAGCTTTCCAACTGGGATTATTGGGAAGGTGCCTGCTCATGACCCGGACGTGGCGGATAAACTGAAGTACAAGTTTGTGTCTGGAAATGAGTTGAATTTACTTATATTAAATGAACACACTGGGGATTTGAGGCTGAGTCGAGACCTGGACAATGACAGAGCGCTGGAGGCCCCTATGACCATCTCGGTAACAGGTAAGGGCTATTTTGTTTTGTAAAATTTGCATTAGTTGAAAAATATCCCAATGAATATGTTTAAGTATAGAAATATAAACCAAAGCAATTAAAGGTCCTATATTACGCAAAACTGACCCTTGTTAGCCATGTTATGATGTTGTTACCTCATCAGTACCTGGAGTTGTGTTATGTTTCATTCACACATGTTTTGAGTAACCCTTTTAGTCTGTCTACATCTCCAAAGTCCAAAATGTTTTGTTCCACGTTATGTCATGAAGCAGTAGTTTTCAGGTTACGTTTTGTTGAGCAAAGTTTGGCAATTCCAGGGCTTAAATGCTCCAAATAATTCTAGTGAAGGTGTATGGAGTTTAAGTGTTTTCTGTTTGAGAGAAGAAGCCTAAATATGTGGGACATGTGTTAATAATAATGTGTGAATGAAACACAAAGCACTAACACTAAACTCTAGGTATGTTTGTGATGAGGAAACAACATTATAGCAAAGATCAGAAAATGGTGTAATACTGGCCCTTTAAGTTCATTATACTTAAAAAAAAAAA